ACAAAACAACTCCTGAACAGTTTGGGTAACATTTTAGATAAACGTAGGCTCTGTGTTTTCTGTGCATCTCATTTTATTAAGTGAGATGATGCATTTGAACCATCAAGTGTAGTTTCTCTCCTGCCCTCAATCATTACATGTAGCTAAGTGAGTTTTCAGTCCAAGGAATACATTCATGTCTACAGAAGCAGACCCAGTCTAGTAACTCTCAGTTCAGTTTGGCTGCATCTTCATGATCAACTAGGAAAGCTGAGCTGAACATCTTTAGACCAAGACCTACTAATGCTGTTTCCTAGCTCCCAGCATTCCACTTCTTCCACTTCTGGTACCAACCTGAAGAGTCAGACCTTCCCGGGGCATTTATTAAGTAACATTTATTAAACAGTTATTATGACCAGGAATCTGGACCAAAAGCTAGCACAGTGCAAATATTGATCTAGTATATCTCCTCAAAACATATGTGTGGTGTATGATTTCCCAATGAGCATTGCATTCCAGCAGTTTCATTTAATCACATTTAACATATGATCTAATAAAAATAAGTCAAGCACAAAATAGTTACATGAAATATATAGTTTTAAAACTCTCTGAAACAGTGATGAAAAAAATTGTGTGGTCAGAAATCTCTTTAAAAATGTTTTTGCAATAACAAGCAGTGTTCTTAACCGCTAAGCCATCTCTTCAGCTCCATCTCTACATGGCAGCTAACAACTGCCCGTAACTCCAGTTCCAGGGGATCTGACAGCCTCTTCTGTCCTCTGCGGGCATTGCGTGACATGGGTGCACTTATCTACACGCAGGCAATACACACATACACATAAAATAAAAATAATAAAATATGAAAAAAGTTTTTTAAAAAAGAAACACTGTTCTTTTAGGGGCTGGAGAGATGGCTCAGTGGTTAAAAACACCAGCAACTCTTGCAGAGGACCTAGGTTTGATTCCCAGCACCCACATGGCAGCTAGCAACCATCCTTAACTTCAGTTTCAGGAGATCAGACTCCCTCTTCTGATTTCTGTGGTCATTGCATGACACAAGTGCACTTACATACATGTGGGCACTACATTCATATGCATAAAATAAAAATAAAATATAATTTAAAAAGACATTAGCTTTAAAGAGAAATTGAACTTTTAAAAAACTGGAATTTTTAAAAGGCTTATGGGACTTTTTAAAGTTGGACTGTGTTTTATATTATGATTTAATGTGAGATCTTGGGGATAAACAAGAAAAGAAAGGCTGTGGCTTAATAGTAATTTTTGTGTGTCAAGTTGACAAGGGACCAACTGTGATGGTTACTTTTATTGTCAACTAGACACAGACTAAATTCACCCAGAAAGAGGGAACCTCAGCTGAGGAATTTCCTCCTTCAGACTGACCTGTGAGCCTGTCTGTGGGGACATTTCCTTGATGGCTAACTGATGTAGGAGGGGCCTTCCCACTGTGTTCTGTGCTATGCCTGGGCAGTTGGACCTGGGCTCAAGAGGAGTGTGAGACTCAGTGGTCTCCTTGATGTCTGTGAACTTCTCCCTGCCACCAACAAGAGAGGAGAGAGAGAGAGAGAGAGAGAGAGAGAGAGAACACATGTCTCAGAGATAACACTACTACCAGAGGGATGAGACTAAACCTCTTGGAATGACTGACTGCCTTTGTATCCTCTCCCTGTATAACCTGCTGACTAAAGATACCATGGTAGATATTTAGGTTGCTAACCCACTATCCTCTCAGATTACCAGTTCACTAAATAGACAAAGTTTAAAGATTCCATTCCTGACTTTTGCCTATGTGTTAGGTAGCACAGATCTGGGTACATTACAAGGTGATTTACGGGGAAAGTATTATGCTTTGTGTTTCAATCAATCTAAGAAACACTGAGGGCCCCCGTCCCTTCTTTAAGATTCGTATTATGATTTGACTTGTTAGAAGTTCTACAGCAAAAGACTTATTAGAATGTTTTCTAAAGGTACTTGCCCTCAGGACTTTCCTCCACTTCAGCAAATAAAAATCTATTAGCACAGCACAGAGCCAGTTACATGGACTACACACTACACAAAACAGCCCTGCGTTATTCTGTGCCCCGTTTCTACTGGTTTTAGTGTCGTAGAAGGTCATCTCTGCATTATTTAATAGTGGCTCGCCTGAGCATTTGACAAGAGACTGCTATGCTGAGTTTTATTG